GTAATTTTACGACTTTATTCTTTTAATTTTACTAAGTACTACTAAGTACTAGGTTTTACTAAGTACTACTACTTATTCTTGAAATAGTAAAATAAAATCTCTAGCCCTGCCCTAATAAGCCGTCGCACCTGGATGACTGAGAATCTTTCCCAGTATAGTTAAAGAGGGTTTTCCTCCACAGAAATGACTAAAAAGTCGCAGATAGAATGAAAATCCACGCATCAAAGTTAGCATTTTATCACATAAAGGTTTCAGTACAATCCTGTAACAATAGAGTGGTAAAAACTTGAAACCCTGAAATCTACAAGCTAGCGATTAGTGTTACAGATAAACAAAATAAAACCCAGAGACGCCAGGCAGTTTGGACTCTGGTTCTGGTGGTACCGACCCAGCTCTAGCAGCCTCTTAGTGAAGTCGAGCGCTCTCTCCAGCTCCCCCTGCTGGTAGACGGAGTAGCTGAGGTAGTCCAGAATGGCGACGGCGTCCACGGTGCCGGACCGCTCCCCTCGGTCCAGCTGCTTTAAGGCCTGCGCCATCCACAGCTCCGTGTGGTAATAATCCACCTCGGCGTACGCCACCCTCCCCAGGTCAAAGCAGTCCTCTACGGTCAGCCTGCTGCTCAGCAGCGCCTCAGAGCCTGAAAGAGGAGACAGGAGCTGCTGTCAGCATCCAGCCTGAAGGACCAGCGGCTTTCAGCTCTGACCCAGAATCAGCCGACCGAGCAGCCGCCCGCTGGAGATGGCCTCCGTGTCCAGCTGGTAGGTGTCCTGCAGCCTCATCAGAGCTTTGGCTGCTCCCGTCTGGTCGTCATCGCCTGGGAAGTGCTGCCTCTGGATGGTGAGGTTAGAGACGAACGCTGGAGGACCAGAAAATAAAGAAGCTTTAGCAAAGCTAGCCGTTCATTATCAACACTGAGCACAGCGACGAGCGTTAAAAAAGGAGAAAAAACTGGAGAACAGAAAATAGAATAAAATACACAACTAAGAAAAAACAAGGAAACATTATCCAACATTTTATCCTGGATTTAAAGGGAACGAAAAATAAAAGACGAGTCAGGGAGAAAGCACAAGTCGGCGAGAAACCACAAGTCGGGAATAAATGAGGAGTCAGGGAGAAACCACAAGTCGTGGGGAAACCACGAGTCGGGAATAAACAACGAGTCGGGAATAAAGGACGAGTCGGGAATAAAGGACGAGTCGGGAATAAACAACGAGTCGGGAATAAAGGACGAGTCGGGAATAAACAACGAGTCGGGGAGAAACGACGGGTCGGGGAGAAACGACGAGTCGGGGAGAAACGACTAGTCCGGAATAAAGGGCGAGTCGGGGAGAAACGACAAGTCAGGAATAAAGGACGAGTCGGGGAGAAACGACTAGTCGGGAAAAACAAAAAGTCGGGGAGAAACAACAAGTCAGGGAGAAACAACGAGTCCGGAATAAAGGACGAGTCAGGGATAAACGACGAGTTGGTCATAAAGGACGAGTCGGGGAGAAACGACGAGTCGGAAGAAAGGACGAGTCGGGAGAAACGACTAGTCGGGGAGAAACAACAAGTCGGGGGGGAAACAACGAGTCTGGAAAAAAGGACAAGTCGAGGAAAAAAGGACGAGTCGGGGATAAACGACGAGTCGGAAGAAACGACGAGTCGGGAGAAACGACTAGTCGGGAGAAACGACTAGTCGGGAGAAACGACTAGTTGGGGAGAAACAACAAGTCGGGGGGGAAACAACGAGTCTGGAAAAAAGGACAAGTCGAGGAAAAAAGGTAGAGTCGGGGAGAAACGACGAGTCAAGGAGAAACGACGAGTCGGGAATAAAGGACGAGTCAGGAGGCCTTTTTCCATCCGTACTCCAGGGTTTTATGCCTCATCTGAGGAGGATCTGCTGCTCAGAAGGAGCCACAGCTTAGAGCAGATGGGTCTGACTATCACCTGGAAAACAATGGAAAGCAGCCTTTTAGTTTCTAGGAACAGCACATTAGAGTAAAAACTGAAAAGATGGAGAGCTGATCTATCATCGCTCATAACGACCCAAAGGTCCAGGACGCTGAGCAACGACCTGAAGGAACCACGATGCTGAAAACCGCCGAGAAATCAGAACCAGGATCTCATCCTTCATCCAGACATCAGATGAGCGGATCTAAAGGATCCAAAAGGTTTCTCTTTACCAACTCCAGATGTTCTGCACTTTAGGAAAGTTTAAAGGAAGCCAGACTTTAAAAGTGTGTGTGTGTGTGTGTGTGTGTGTGTGTGATTACCGTCGGACACGTCAGTCAGTACCAGGCTCTCTAGCTCCGCCCACTCCGTATTCAGCCTCTTTATCAGCTGGAAGGCGTTCACCGGGTGACCCAGGAAACCTTCAGGATCCTGAGAGCCAGCAGCTGACAGGGCGTCCAGTCTATCCGCCCACCTGAAGGCCCCGCCCACACACACACACACACACACACCTTCAGCTGCCTGCGCCAGTCTGCAGCTCAGAGCTGCTGAGATGTTTGGGTCCAGCTCACCGTTTGATTCGCTGCAGTTTGTCCTCCTCTGCTCTGATGTAGTCCTTCAGAGAGGAAACCAGGTCCTTCTCCATGAACAGCAGGTCCGTCATGTGGCCTGAGAAGAAGCAACAGTTTAGATGTGCAGGAGGGGAGCGGGAGCGGAGGAAGGGCCTAAACCCACCGATGGAGGTGAAGAAGTCCCTGTGAGCCGAGACGGAGGCGAAGAGGAGCAGGAGGACCAAGCAGCGGTGGCAGAGCTTCATGTCGCCTGCAGACAGAAACAAGCAGAAGA